GGGGGGCAATTTCAGTTGCGTATGTCGTCTTTTTTCTTCCCAAAATTAATTTCCTTTAAGTGTTTTATCAATGTCAATGCAATCTTTGTTTGGAGTGAAATTAGTATCTTTTCCACAGTAAATCCAAAAATTTACAATCAGTACATTCAGCAATCTGTTGTGTCAGTAGATTTTTGGATGGAAAAATAAATCTATATATTTCAAGTAAATGGAATGTCTGAATAGTAAGGTGTGTGAAATGAGGTTAGTCTGGCTTTGATATTGTCCTTTGCTGCAGAATTTGTGTGTCTGATGCTCGCTCGCTCACTCCCTCTCTCTTTTCCTCTAAAATTGCCAAATGACTATTATACCTTTATTGAAGGAAAGAATTGTGATATATGTTTTAATCTACCTTCTTGGTAGAAGACGTTAGAGGAGAGAGCAAACACATCTTTGTGGACTAAAACCAATTCACATTTAAAAATGTGTACGAAATGTTGTTTTTTGTCCATATGTGGTGTAACATATCGGAGTATCTTAACACTGATATCCTTACATTGGCACTTCAGATTTACTGTAAAAGAATTTATCTTGTGGAAAATGAAATGTTAGGCATCAGAAATTTCATTACACAGATTGGTTTCATCCATGAGATTTCGTCTGTAATAAAATACTACTTATTCCATGGTATACTTCTTCATCCTATAGCACTTGCTTAATGATAAGTACTGATGGAGTCATCTTCTGTTATGAGTGAAAGTTAAGTTACTGGAAATAAAAACTTCTGAATAAATATTAAATTCTTTGCTACTAATTTAATAGTGGTCCTGTATATAGCAACGTGTGTTTTCCAAATTCAGGTTGGTCTTTGAGGTTAACACTGTCAGAAGGTATATTAGTTGACACTTCTGTGACATTCAGGACTGTTAGTTTTGTTAGAAAGTCAATGGGCAATATTAAAGTAAACTAGTCTGGTTCTTTTTCTTCAGATGGCAGAGATGAGTGAATTCAAATTTGGGGAAGATATTGCAGAAAAAATAAGGAGTGTTGCACTAAAGTTTCTTTAAAATCAATCTATCTTTTAAAAGTTTTTATTTCACGAAGAGGTAGGGCTGTAAGAAATATGATTATTGTGGTACTATCCCATAAATACGGGAAACTGCTGCCAACAAAATGATTATTATTATGATGATGATACTAAATTACTCCAAAGGAAATGGTGAACATTTGTATTTGTTTTCTAGTGGATATGGATCCTTCGTAGAATGAAAGAGCCTATAAAGCATACGTGAATGCGCATATGTGCAACTTTTCATTTACATTATTTCTTAAAATCAGTGTCAAAACTAATTTATTTTAGTCTCTTCTTATGGTGAGACTTATTTATACCATTGTGATTGACCTGCTACTTCACTACCACTAAGTCACTGACTTATTTAGAAGTCAGATTTTTAGTAGTTATGCATACAGCTATCTTTGAATAAAGCACTGTGATGAGTAACACTGCTTCTGTAATTTATGCCTAGAGCTGCCTGATTTTAAACTCACTGCATGACATATTTTGACATTTTGTTCCACAGTTTAAATAGTCATTATATTGTGGTTGTGACAGTGTAGATACATATGAGAAACAAGGTTTGTTAGGGAGAGAGAATGTTTGTATTAGTCTAGCTGGTACAAGTGGAAAATCTAGACAAATTTTTGGCATATACTGCTTCAGTAGTTGAAGATGTTGGACCTACATTCCTAATAACATATACAGCTAAGATTGGGTTTGTCACGGCCAAGATTAAAGTAACTCTTTCTGTATCTTTCCTCTGGGTCTCTCTTCTCCATGAAATGGAACGTGGAATAGTTATTCTCCCTTTCTGGCTTTTTCTGCTCTATGTCATCTATTAGCCCTGGCTGAGATTGTGTTCCCTTTCTCTGCCTTGCTTCTCCCGGCATCTGCTGCCATCATCCCCCTAGCTAGAATTTTGGCTTGTTTCATTAAACTTTCCTCTGCAGGGAATTTGTGTGGCTAAGTAGCTGCTTTGTTTTGACTGCTATTTCTCAAGTTGATGCATTTGATCTCCTTGTTGTCTTTTGCTCTCCTAAATGAAAGTATGGAGCTAGCTTCTGTTTACAAGTTATACTGCAAACTAGTTGTGCTTGTACAACAGAAACCTAATTGATTGAGTAGCAGTCTTTGGCAGTGATACCTAGCCAGTAATAACTAACAGCATAGAGTCAAATTGGAAAAGAGTAAATTCAAATATGATTAATGATAACCCCTAGTATATGAATGAAGAGATGAAAATATCCTGGTTTATTTGACTGATCATTACACTCCTCAAGATATGAGATGTGATCCTGTGAATGGTGGCAGAATCCTCACGGAACACATAGATCTTGGCTGTATTTTGCAAAAGGTACAACCTGAAGCCAAAAAAAACCCCAAACAAACAGGAAAGATTATCAGTCATTTCAGGAAGAAAAGTAAAAGAAATGGTAAATTTTCATATCTTCCTCTCTGGAGGATGTCTTTCTGGAAAGTGTGTGTTGAACAATCTGAAGTCAGTGTGGAGGCAGTTGAGTGAAACTTAGTGGTTTGTGAAGTACATGGTCTTTCTGGTTGCTGAACACCAGAGGCAGAAGTTGCCTGTCCACTGTAGGAACACATATTGCACTGATACTACATCTGGTATTGACAAACACCAACAGAGCTTACCTACATAGAGCAAGTCTTCAAATATCCCACATATGGTGACATCTCTATGGTATGGTACAGGACATATTTTGCTAATGTCTTCAGTATCGTAGTATTGCATGATAATGTCAAGATCAAGACAAATATAATAATTACATAGTAGCAGATGCAGCAATTATTTTGGCAAAACAAATAAGTCAGTGTTCTGCAACGTGAAACTGATTTTTAAATTTTTTTTAATTCTGAAGAAGCTTTCCTTGGGGCTGCTTATTACATTTTCTTTTAAAGAAGAAAAAACAAACCCAAAGACTATAAAAGAGTAAGTGAAAAATCATTGTAGGCAAACATTTATTTTAACAGTGGAAATTCTGGTAGTTTTGCAACAATAGACTTCTTTTCTATCCTTTGAGAACACTCCAAAATCTGATGTGACAGCTTCTTTTTACTTTTCTTGTAATTTAGGCCCATCATGTATTCTCTTTGATCACCAGTAGTCACTTTTTTCATTTTTATTTTTTTTTTAGTGCAAACAGTGAGCTGTGTGACATATTTTTATGGGACATACAAAAGACAGAAATTGGTCCCTAATGAGGGATGGCCATAGTTTGATACAACGTGGTACAAAAATGAACTTTTACTTCATAGTCTTGATCAAGAGGAGGGTATTTCTCTGTACTTGGTGAAGAGAATTGCATATTTTAATATTCTTCAACCTGCTCCCTAATGAAGAGGTTGATTGTCAGACTAATTTCAAGTCCTAAATATTCATTAAGCTGCATAAAATCAACATAAATTAAGCAGTGATTTCCCCCCCCCTTTTTGAATTTTGCATGTTGACAAAAATAATTTTGTAAGAGCCTTTAACAAAGTTGGAAGCATTACAGATAATGAATCAAGGGTGATACAAATATGAAACATTAATATTAGTCAGCTGCATTAGATACTTGGCTTCTTAATCTGTCAGATATGACAGATAACACAAAACAGCAATAAAATTGGATGAGACAGATGGTAACACTATGTAACACGTTTGTGTATAACCTTTTGCTTTTGACCTGCAGGAGAATCCCAATCCCCACATAGCATTCCAGAAAGTGCCGCGGCCCACGGAGGGCTCCCACTTGCGGGTTCACATCCTCCCTTTTCCCCGGATCAATGAGTCCCGGGTGCAGGAGCTCCTCCAGGAAGGTCTTGCAAGGAGTCAGGGTGCCCCCGCTGCCACCCGGGGGGACAAGAAGTGCGTCGTTCCAGCAGGTCCCCCTGTTGGTATGTTTACTTGTTCCCCAACTTACCTATTTGTTGTCCTGTTGCATGAGCTGAATATATAATTAGCATGCCGCAACGTGTTGCTCCCAGTTTCACGTTAATGCAGTATTTTTAGTGATCGTAGTAACCGTTAGTACATAGACTTGCCTGTTTGCCTTCGTAAACTTAAAAGCCCTTTTGCATCGGCCTTTACTGAGAAGTCAAACATCCAGAGTGTGAGTGGCGTAATTACAACAAAAAAGGATTTGACCTAAGTTAGATTGAACTGTTAGATTAGATACTGTCTGTTGATCTAGGTCTAATGAATATCACCATAGGTTACTTGTAGGACTGGCTGAACCAAGCTTTGAACTGTTAGGGTTTTTCCTTTGACACTAGTGGAAGATATGTAAATTACTGGAGACAGACAAGGAACAAACATAGCATCTGTCTCAAAATAAATATACCTGTATTTAAATATAAAGAACAGATGTAGACATTGTAGGCCTCTCAATTTAATTTTAATGCCAGAAAAATTCTATTAGTTGTCATGTCCATCAATGTGAATGGTGGTGTAAACAAGGACATTTAGTAAACTTGCAGGACACATGAAGCTGGCAGAGCTTGCAAAACTTTTGGAGGATGGTATTAGAATTCAAATCAGTCTTGAAAAATTAGAGATCTAGTCTCTGTTGAATTTTGTCCTTCCCTACTGTTTTTCTTCAAATAAGGTATGGCACTTGCATAGGCATGATCAGCTGACTAGGCAACAGTTCTTCAGAAATGAATTTGGGGATTATAATGATCATAGGGCAAATGTGACCCAACTATATCGAGCTATTACAAAAAAGACAAACATTTTAATAGGATGTATAAACAGGAGTACAGTCAGTGAACCCCATGGAGAAATCTTTTTGTTGTACTCAATAAGACCTCAGTTGGACAGTTTGTATCCATTTTTGGACACTGGAAGACTGTCCCTTCTTTGGAGGGAGTCCAGAAGAAAGCAACAAGAATGACCAGCGGACTGGAGAATGTGACCTACAAGGAAAGATGGAGAGTTGTTTAGACTGAAAACTAGAAGACTGAGGGAACATATAATAGCAGTCTTCAATTACATAAGAGGCTGTTAAAAAAAGAAAGGGACTAATCTGTAGTGATAAGAAATAATGGGTTTAATTGCAGCACAAAAATAGAGTTATTTGTCAGGAAAAACGTGGTAAAATGAGGATTGTAAGGCAGTTGAATGGATTTCTTGTGAAGCCGTGGAGTCTCTGTTATCGCAGAACTTTGGGAACGTATTAGACAAACATGAGAAATAACATAAATACAGTTGATCCTGCCTAGGGACAGCAGGATGAACTAGATGGCCTCTTGAGGCCCCTTCCAGGCCTGTTTCTCTTTGGGTTTATGTAAGAGGAGGATAAACTCTATTCACCTGCCTTTGCTGTTGACTGTATCGTTGAATCTGTTAGTTATAGAAAATTTAAAGGGTATGTGCTTGTGCTCTGTTGCTTTTCTTTAAAAGGCTAGATGCAAGAGAAGGTTTTCTTTCTTAATAAATTAATTTTTATGACAAAGTTTCTGGTTTTGTGTTTTTTCAAGGAACAGCTTTCACACTCATGTTCCCTGCTGTCCTGTGTGTCAAAATCTTTAGATAGTAGGAGCTCATTATTATTATCTACAAGAAGGGCATACTCTGCATTTATGTTCTATTTACTTGATACTAAAGAGAAATAGAGAATGTTAGCTTTTCCATTCTGAATTTTCAAGAAAATTCAGAGCTAACCACTGCATTAAGCAATAATCTTTAGATTTCAGCAAACTGGAATCTAGATAAGAGAAAAAGTTTGTCAGGTTTTATTCCATGTCACAGAATTCTTGGCATGACCAATGAATTCTTTAGGAAAAAATAGTTATCTACTGCTACAAGATATTCAAGGCTACATTGTTCAGTGCAGAACACACACACACACTTTTATTAATTTGTATTTATTTATATATTTCATTAGTATGTTAGAGGCTGGAATCTCTTTGTGCCTATATGAGACAAATGAAACAAGTAGTAAAGAGAATCAACTGCTCTAGATAAAATTAAGGGCACTCGTTTCTTCAGATAGTGTAGGAAAACCAAAGGTTTAGGATGTTATGTTCTCATCTGTACATGCCTACTAATGGTATTTGCTTAACAGAACAAAATGGAGGGCACGTCAATTGTTAAATTTTTTTTAAAAAATAACTTTTTGGTATTCTTTGTGGCTCTTGCAGAAGACATTTCACAGATGTATATTCTTCTTTTTCTTTGTTAGTTTCCATAATGGAAAAAGGAAGCACAGTTTTCAACAGTGCACAAAGGCTGGAAGTTGTTAGAAACTGCATCTCGTTCATTTTTGAAAACAAATTTTTGGAGACGGAAAAGGTAATAAAGTGAAATTTTAACTTTCCTAAATAAGCCTCCATTCCGTTAATGAACAAACAGAGACTGACCTTGTCACAAAGTACATTTTGAAGTCTTGTTTCAAATACTTATGATTATTTTAACCATTTAAATAAAGTAAGCAATAAACCAAATCCTCTAAATGTAATACTGTGTGTAATATGAAGATAATGGATTTGAAAACTTGTTTGTAATACTACGTGGGTGTGTTGATGCCCTTTTTTGCTAATTTATATTACCATTATAAATAGTATTGTCCACATGATTTTTTTTTAAAAAAGTGGTATATATTGGTCTAGCAGTATTGATTAGGAGCAATGTAAACAAAAGGCATACGTAGACGTGTCAGTGTTTGTCAACCAATGCTCTTTTGAAATTTTCAGTAAATTTTGCTGGCTTTAAAAATCAGTAATTTGATAGAACTCAGAGTTGAATGTAAATATTCGGCATGTCTGTCTTCACTAAAATGTACTAGTGAGTTGTCATCCTTGACACTCTTATATTTTCACATTAAGAAGTTGCCAGATTTTGTAGATTCAGTCTGTCGAGTTTTCTATTATTGATTCTAGAACAATCACTCAAACTTACACTCAAATCTAATTCTACATATGAAAATGATTGTAAAATTATTGTAGGAATTTTTTTTGATTTCTCAGAAAAGTATCACATGTGTATCTCAGAGGCTGTCCGGCTCAAGACAGACAACAAGCGTTTCTTGATTTACAAGTTATGTTATGGAAATACACATGGGAAAAGTCCTAGTAAAATGTGTAGCTCTTTTTAAAGAGTTTTGATGCATGTGTAACACAGTAGTTTCTAGCCTCTTTCAACTTACAGACACTTGGAAAATTTCACTAGTTTTTCGTCCCCCTGCCTGGTAAATTTATCCTTAGGCAAAGGGCTGCCTTTTCGTATTTATCTGTTACCACCCATTAAATCTAGTCTAAAGGGCCACAGTTGATAATCACTGATGTAGCACTTGCTGCGTCTTTCAAACATTAGCATGAATATTCTGTTGACGCTGTTTTAGGGTAAACTTCGTAACAGTCTTGTGGCTTCATTGCTATGAGAGGTATGCCACTTCTAAAGCCATTTGTCATTCACCGCTTATCAAAACCCATGCTGGTTGGCCTTGATATGCTAACTCGAGACCTGGCCTGGCTGGTACAGAATAGAGCACTTGCTTCCATGCGCAATAATTCATTTCTGATTTTTGCATCCATTCAGTGCCTGTCTGTATTCAATCATTTCTACTTACAGATGTAGGTGAGAAATGCTGTTTAATGCTTTTGAAAAAAACATAGGAAAAACTTAATACTTAATGACTCAAGCTAAATCAACCATTATGTGAAAGGTTGATATTCAAGCTAATGAGTAATTTCCAAAGTTATACTTTACTATACTGTGACTTGCAGTTTCTTAATAAAAAAATAAATTATATTCAGTATGAATAGCACCATTTAATTTCATTTTCATAAAGCTAGGTTTTCTTGTCTCCAGACCCTGCCTGCAGCTCTGAGAGCCCTAAAAGGAAAGGCAGCTCGGCACTGCCTGACACAGGAATTAGGCCTGCATGTTAAACAGAATCGAGCAATACTAGACCATCAGCAGTTTGACTACATTGTGCGAATGATGAACTGCGCTTTGCAGGTACAGTATGTGAAGGTTTTGGTCTTTGGTTGTCTTTGTTGTGTTATTATGATAAGCAAAAAAATTGTTCAGTGTGATGTGGAGAAGCAAAATAATTAAATTACAATGATGTAGGAAATACTACTCGACAGTGTATTTAAGATACTTTGTTGTTGAAAGGATGAGGGACAAAATGCTCAGGTCTATACAGATCTGTCTGATATGAAGAACAAAAAGAAAACTGTTCCCGTTACTAATAATTTAGATAAAATTTAGTTTTGGTTAAGTATTGCCACGGTTCATGGTGGTAGTTCTGCTTGTCATGGTGGCATCTTAGTTTGTCAGAGACTAACTGAAGGTGTTCGCAGTTATTCTACTGATAAATTAAATAATTTTCTGCTGAATAAACATCAACATACAGTGGCAGCTACCTATGAGAGGAAAGTATGTGGATGACCTCTTTTTACTTTTATTTGAATAATTATTCTGTTTTAGGTTTACTTGTTGGCAATTCATTGTCAGAAATATTTTATAGACGTCTGTGTATTCAGTCTGATTATCTGAGAATGTGGTAGTATTTTTTAAAATTTTTAATGTGATCAGATTTGGTTATATTGATTGAGACATTGGTATTTTAACCCCACTCTCCTCTAAACTAAAACCAGCTGGAATTATTTTGCAGCAGTTTGTTGATCCATATTTTTAAAAAGGTGAGTGCTAAATACAGCTTTCACTTGAGTATAGAAACAAATCAACATCGACTGAGCAAATGCCACTTCAGGTCACCATCAAATGTAAGTTTTGTTTTCTGTTGTATTGTTTATTCACAGGAGCTATTTAGAACAAAATTGAACTTTGCCTGAACAGTAGTCTTTGGAGTAAAATTACCTGCAGTTAGCAGATGAAAACTGAAGTCAACTGGCTAAAAATTGCACAATGTCTACCAGACTGTGCTTTTTTGGCATTGGCCTTTTCCACGCTCTAAGGTTAGCCTCAGAGTTGGGAGAAAAATTGAAGTTATCTGTGAAATTATATTTCTCTGCCCAAAATCATGACCAATGGATAATGCACCTGCTCTGTACTCCAGAGTTAGAAATTTTCTTTCAAACCAGAAAACAGAATTCTTTAGATGTGCCACAGGTTTTGCTCCTAGTTTCTTGATTGATCCTGGGAAAAAAATTCAAGATGTTTTTAGACAATAGGAACAGAATACAAATCCCCTTTATTTGCTATATCTTGGTACAAAACAGATGGCAGAAGAAGATGAGGTGTTGAGGAAATTTCCTTTGCTGAGGAAAGAAATAACGACATTACCTTTTAATAAAGCAATAAAATCCAATTTTTCTGTAGGAGAAAACTGTTATTTTTCGTCCCAGTGATATAAAGACCCAAGAAGGACCTTAATGTTCCTAGAAATTAATGTTTCTGAAGTCTTACTGAAGTTAAAATAGTTTAGGGTTTGGTTTTGTTTTCTATAAAGCTAGCAAATATAACTCAAATCATGCAGAGGAAACAGATCAAGTAAGGAGGCACAGTTTTTATGCTTCCCCCC